TATATATTTATCACTAGAATTATTTCATTTAAACAACATTAACTTATCATTTTTTCTCCTCCATGTGCGAGTGGTAAATCATTACAACTGGACTGAGATCCGTAAAATGCATGTTTGAAGTTCTAAGAAGATATATGCCAAAGTGGACTATGTTCCTCCATGACTTTATTTTTTTTTTATCTATTCCAGCACTCATGTATGCAAGCATTTTTGGAAATGTTTCTGCAATTATCCAAAGACTATACTCGGGAACCGCCAGGTACCACATGCAGATGTTGCGAGTAAAAGAATTCATTCGTTTTCATCAAATTCCTAACCCTCTGAGACAACGGCTTGAAGAATATTTCCAACATGCGTGGACTTACACCAATGGCATTGACATGAACATGGTATGTATTTCTGTTTTCCAGAACTGAAGCCACACAGGCTTTATAACTAGCCAAAATTGAAAAGCCAGTCTCACCAGCTTTGAAATCCTTGCTTTTGTTTCCCTCCCTCTGGTGTTTATTTTCTCCCTGGAGATAGTCTCTCATTCTCAATTCATGGCATTGCATGGTGCTATATCTAGTTATACTGTGTGGCAAAGGCATTATAACATGATGCAAACTGTTATAACTGTGTGGTAGAGTTCCTACTTAGAGAAAGAATTATTTGACCTAGGACTTCGGATTTGATCACATGGCCTAGTTGCCAATTCCTAAAATATCAACTGGGCTCATATACATTAACATTCAACAACTAAATAGTTACAACTAAGATGCCCCAAACTGAGATCTTCTATTCTTTCTGAGAATCAAGATTAACACTCTTTAAAGCATAAAGCACTTGAATAATTGTAGGAGTGATTAAGGAGTTTATTGGAAAGTTTCAAGCTTCTTTAAGATTAATTTTTCTATATTGTAAACACTTAAGACTGTACCTTTTTACTGTACCTGATTTAATGCATTTTTCTTTCAAGGGAGAAATATGAATTCTTTCATAACTTTGAAATAGATTTAGCATTGACAGTCCCTTGTCATAAACCCATCTCTACTCTGTCACTATTCAAAAATCATCACAACTAATATGGCCCATAGAAACACTCCTGACCAGTAAGGAAATTTTTTCATAAACCTTTGGCCACATTGTTTGGCATTCAAGATGGATTTCAAAAGATAAATTACTGAACAAATCCAAATTCCGTGGCATATCATAAAGATGCAATGAAATTATTAAAAATATGTTTCCCTTCTACCTGACTTCTCTTTACTGTCTATAAGGAGCCTTTAGTAAGAACTCAGGAAAATTAAACATTGATATTTTAAAATATCGACCATATAGTGCAAATTGTTGCATTAATGAGCCTATACAATTAAGGTGGTATTTCCCTTAGACTAACACTAGACTAGCAAAACAAGTGCTCACAACCAAACTGCAGAAAACACTGCAAATATTGCCTAACTTTGAAATACATATTCTATATAGGTCAGTTTATTATAACCATATACCTATGTGATTTATTTGTATCTAAGTAATAATATGCCATAAAAAACTTTAAAGAGTTAATTGATTAACATATTTCCTATATTATGATAGCAAACTCCATGGATTATTTCTAACCATTCCCAAGAACCTTGTTAAGAATTCATTTGCTAAATTGATCTCACCAAGAAAGCACTTTAACCTCACAAGGAAGAGCACCTACAAAGTGCCTCTATCTATAACTATCTATCTATGTATAAGAATCTATAATTATTATTGTTTTAACAAAGATATCCGTATTTGGAAATTATTCTGGAATCTCTAAACTGGGTTAACTGAATTAGTATCAAGAACTTTGAATCAGCACACATATCATTCAATTTTGTTGTTCCAGACTGCCAGATTATTTCAATAGCTGCAATAAAAAGAATAATTACTTATTGTACCTCCCTTCTCCATAGAACTCTAGTTTTGTGACCATTTTGTGATAAAAAGGTCTATTTGTGGTAATTATTTACCTTTCATTGTTTGACTCTATTACCTATGATATGGTTAATATACCAGTTGCCTATTTACAATGTACTTATGAAAGATTTATCTCTTTCCTGTCTGCTTCACACCTTAACACATGGAATCACAACACCCACCGGTAAGAACAGGAGGTATTTCTATCCAATTTAATTCTCGTGTAAATTGTGGAGAACACTCTTGTTTTCTGTCAGGTTTAGAGCTTGTTAAGTGATTTCCAATGTTAGTTCTAATCTTTTTCTGCATGATGTAGTGGAGGAAACACAAAGCAAGAAGCTGGGGAAGATATTGTGAAAGAGGCCAAGTACAGAGCAGAACCTATTTTAACAAAAACTTGACCTCTAATAATACTTGCATACAGTTCCCCACTCCCATAAATACTTGCTTCTCTGCCCCATCCCCACCCTGATAAAGGCTATGGGTATACGGTTTGCATTAGATAATTGTCATAAAGAAAATGTCACTCTCATTATCCTCTATTTTCATGATATAGGTTCTTTTCTTTCCTCTCATCCGCATGCCTGTATTACATGATCCTGGAGTGTGTGAGCTCTAAACCATGTGCTGTTGAGTCTTGCATGTGGTTTTGAGAGCTTGCCTTTGCATGAACTTGTTTGTACACAGTGTCTACATTTCTCATCTGTGACTGAAAAGTGAGTACAAAAAATCAAAGTGCAAGAAACTGCAAACTCGACAAATGGAAAAATGCCTGGTTGTTAATTATGATATATAAAACCAAGTTGATTAGAGAAAAACAACTCAATCATAGACTTCTAAGAGGTAAAAACAAACAAACCAAAAAGCATGTGGGTTTATTTTACCTCCAGAATAGTTGTTAAATCCCAGTATCTTTCTGGTTTATCATTAGGTAAAATGCAGCTAAATAGCAGCATAAAGTTGTTTAAGTTTATGTATTGTTGTACATATAAATGCATCAAACACTTGTATTTCAAATCATTATCCCATATTACTTTATTTATGTATATCCTTATATATGATTTCTCATGAAAGCATTTCAGAATACCATTGTTACTGTTAGAAAATGTCCAAATGAAATACAAGGTTTTATTCACACTCTTTATTAAGCCAAAACTATTGTTTATGACCCAAAAAAGTTTGATTACTTCACGGAAAACAAAAGGGGAGTAAAGGTTTATAAGATCAAAGAAGTGCACACATACACCTTATTCTTTGCTTTTTTTTTTCTTTGTTGAAAAAGTTATTGCCAGAGTGTTCAATACAGAAAGCATTCATAAAATACTTACAAATTCACTTTTGGTTTTCCTAAATAGTTCAGAGTACAGAAAAGGAAAAGAAAGGCCAGAATAATGAGGCTGGTGAAAAGAGGGTATTATTTGGAATTTGATATCAGGTATAGGAATAACTAAAATCAGCTCAAAAAATAATCTGGTCTCAGATTAGGACTGAAGGCATTGCAGAAAATCAGTCAAGGAATTCTCTCAGTCAAAGTTGTCTTCTGATCCGGCCTGAAACTTTCTAAGGTTCACCAACCTTAGGTTCAGGTAAAACACACCACAGACTGAGAATCTTCCATGTCCTTGTCCTCTTAAATAGTGCACACAAGAGCCTACCTTGAGTGGAGAAGGACCTAACTAATCATGGTTCATGTTGTTTTGGGTAAAATTAAAGAAATCATTTAGGACAGGGACCACACCATAAAAATACCAAACACTTGCATGAAAAAAGAGTCACTAAGAGTAATTGACAAGGCATTTTATTTCTTACCTAAAAATCCAGCCCTTCTGCTTAATAATAATTGTGTAATAGGAAAACTAGAAAAAGGATTCAGAAAACCCAAACATTAGTTTGTAATATGCCACTAATCTTGAGCAAGTCACTTAGCCATTCTGTCATTTAATTAAACCAATTATTTTCAAACACTTTTGAAACAAGAATTCAGATACTCTAAAGTGGAAAAAAATTATTATGAAAGTCTTTTTGACTGAATAAATTCCATATTGAATCTTTATCAAGAAACACTGGTCTAAATTGCTATATAGAATTTTGATACCAAAGATTGAAGAAGACAGGTTCAGGTAAATGCTGTGACAAGAGTAGTGACTTATATCTTTGCAGCTTCTTGCTATGCGTCGAAGAGGTGGACAATGATTAAAAATGAAAGAAGAATTGATGCCTTTGATTTGTGGTGCTGGTCAAGAGTGTTGAACTTACTATGGATCTCTTAAAAAACAAATAGGTCTGTCTTAGAGAGTGTGAAACCAGGTTTCCCCTTGGAGTCAAGGAACTTGAAGCTTCATCTCACATAATTTGGACACATGGCCCGGACAGACCATTCCTTGGAGAAGGACATCATGCTTGGAAGAATAGAAGGACAGTGTAGGAAAGGAAGACCCCAGATGAGATGGATTGACACAATAACTGGGGTAATGGGATTAGATGTGTCAAAGTCAGTGAGACTGGCTCACAATAGGGCAGGGTAAGAGTTTTGTACATAGGGTGACTATGAGTTGCAGATTTGATAGTACATAACAATAACAACAGATAGGCAAATGTTTTATAAAGACAAACATGAAAGAAAAGAGGAAGGTTGAAAGCAGTGGTTTTGTAAAAAGAGCAAGGGCCACATGTGGACAGTCATATCTGACCTTTACTAACTCCACAAAGGGGAACTGTCCCTATCAACAATAAAACAATACAAAACCAATTTGCATGAGGTCATAAATGTCTCCCACACTCCCACACTATTTCTACCGATCTCAACACCAGCCTTACTGCTTTACAGTGTCCAATATTTGATACAAACTCACAGACCACACAAAACCATCCTGGGGATGTCAAAAGGCTATAATTTGGGTTAGTAGCAGAATACCATCACTTAGGCATGATAGCTTCTGAGATGTGCTCAGGCACCTCAGCTTTGAGCCTCACAGCTTTAGCCCATTGTTACAAAACTGTCAATCCTGTCAATTATACCTCTCCCTCACTCCACCCCAGCTCTCCAGCAAACCTGGGCAAAAGCTCTCAGCTTTGGTTCTGAAGAGGGTAGCAGTCACAAGGACCTCTCAGGTTCACGTCAAGTCTCTAGCGCGTGGCTGCTATAGTAACTACTCCCATTGTCCTGGTCTGACTGGCACAAGAATATATGGCTCCAAAAGACATGAATGGATTCTTTTGCTTCTTCTTTGCTGAGAGTGAGGTTCTCACTAATTCTGCCTCTGGAGCCACTGAATTTAATGGCAAGAGTAGCAAATGCCTTTGTGGATAGGCTAACACACACTCTTTGCATATTCCCACTCATCTGCATGACAAAGTCAAATTGCTAGGGAAGCCATTTTGGACAATAAACCATTGGTTTTGAGAGGTAAAAGAAAAAGGCAAGGATGAAGGGGTCTAAGTCATTTGATTTTATTTTTAAGTT